CACACACACACACACACACACACACACACACACAGCGGCTAAAGCTGGCAACTTCCGGCTTTTAGTGACTCAGTAATTTATTTTAAGAATACTTATAAGAAAAGTGATTTCTGAAAGACTGTAGAATTAGGGTTCTATCCTCTCTTGGCTCTTGATTTTACTTCTATGTCGTACTTATTCATTTCATATTTCTGTTTATTGCAACTTTCTGTTTGTTTCAACTCTCAGGACAGCTTATAATAAAAGCTAAAGTATAAAACAAGCAAAACCAATGCATTTAAAATAAACACCAAAATTAGAATTGATCTTGAAAATAACTAACCGTTAAATGCTTAGCAAGGAAATGCCTCAGCATCTTCCTAAACCCTCAGAGAAGGGAAGCAAATGAACCTCCCTGGGGGTTGCTTTCCATAGTCTGGGAGCCATGGGGGAGGAGACCCTTTCCTGGGTACCTGTGCTTTCAGACACGGTGTGTGTGTGTGTGGGGGGGGACTTCTTCAGAAGAGATGGAAATAATGGGGTAGATTCACAGCAGGCCCTAAGCCATTTAGGGCTTCAAAGATCCACACCAACATCTTGAACTATGCCTGGTAGGCAACTCATAGCTAGTGCAGATCATATGATCCCTGTACACTGCCCTGAACAGTAGTTTTACCACCATATTTTGTGCCAATTGCAACTTCTGGATGCTCTTCAAGGATAGCCTGCCTAAATGTGTATTGCAGTAGTCAAGATTGTATCTATGGTATGGATAATTCTTGCTAAGTCTCACGAACTGAAAATGTCCTTGCCATAGTTGCTATCTGCAAATCTAAGGACAGCTGGGACTCAAGGACCACTCCCAAACTGTGAAGCTGCTCTTTCTGGCAGAGTCAATCCCATCCAGAACAGTTTTAAGAACAAATTCAAGCTTTCTCCTTTGCAACAGCATCCCCATCTTGTCTGAATTTATTCAGTTTATCAGAATATACATAGCACTGTAAACTCTTAGCAGATGCTCTTGAATGATACCTCTGAACATTACAGCTGTTGGAGTGAACATATTAATGAGCTAGTAGGGAAAAACAGTCAAAACTACAGAGTTAATATGAACTGAATATGAAATAAAGCATTAGTGCTCAGAAGAGCAACTAGAAGAAATCACATCTTACGAATGAACTTCACTTTTCCATTCTTCTCCTGCTTCTTTAGATCTTCCTTAATCCCTGTTTTTGTATTTATTCTCCCCTTTAACATTTCTATGTGCAATGTAATGAATAATCCACACACTAAGGATATTTTAATCCTAGTTTCTGTTGCATATATCCAGGTATAGTACATGTAAAATTTAATCTGTAGGATTTGGGGAAAATGTTAAATGTGAAATATGGGCACGTGCTTCACTGTAGCCAATGCTCCATCATCCACAGACGACGGGTCTGCTTCAATGTGCAAAATGGGGGCAGCTGCAGGAAATGAGGAGACAGAAAATCAGTAAGTCTATCTACAAGAATGGCTGTTATGAGCTCATCAGTTCTCAGCCTAACTCAGCTGAGCGCTTAGCACAGCGCAAGCAGCGTGATACCGAGTACTGGATATGCAGAATTTTGCCAAGAAAGCAAACGAGATATTAAACTAAAACCATGATTATTTCCCCTAATATATCCAATTTTGTTTTGAAATACCAGCATGGAGAGAGAGAAAAGAAATAATAATCTGGAATTTGGGCTTGCAGGGGAAATGGGTATGCCATGTTTTTCATAAAAGCTGCCCCTTGGAAAGAACAGCTTCCTTTCCAAAACTAAGAACAGCATGAGTGTTTTTAATTCTGTGCCACAGACCTGGGCTTCATTCCCCCTCAGTAATTATGTATTTAATATAAAATGCAGCTTAGCCCTAAGCTAAAGAACTGGATGGACAAATGAACCTAGAAACCTTACAAGTTCTATGCAATTACGGATCTTAATTCTGACTTCACCCTAAGTACATACAAGCAATAAGCCTATACAAAATGTCTTCCATTCACTACAAAGGTGATGCCACGCATCTTGCACCAAAGAAGCAATGCTATTCACCTCAGGAGGTGCTTGTCACTTGGCACGATGATGGTGGCCTCAGAGCAGTACAAAGCAAGGCAAAATGGATGCTTCATTTCACTTCTAGAATCAAAGGTGTTGCCTTGTTTCATGAAACAGTTTTCAGGGGGTGCTCTGCATGAGTCCAAATTGAAATAAAGTATCTCCTCAATCCACACAGCTTTAAGCATTGGCACTTTTGTTTTGGTCCCATTTAATTATCGTGCAGTTATTGGATCACTGAACACCTCTTCCCCAACAAACACACACATCTTGATAAATAGTGTTGCCATTTTCATACTTGCATTCCACTCGCATCAGTTCTCTACCCTTTCCTATCCTTTCAGCTTTCTCCCTGTCTGGAGTTATGCTGGGCTTCAACTTCCAGCCAAGACGCACACCTGAAAGCACCAATTTCAACTTCCATTTTGTCACGGTAGAGTTAGTGGGTTAGAGCCTGAAAAAGCATGGCACTCAATGCCGGCGATTCAGATTAAAGAGACGTCATGTGGTTTTTTAAGTCCCTGAGTTATATGAAACCACATAAGCTATAATTCCCCAGGCAAGGGTCATCTGAAAAGCAGAGGATTTGGATAGGCTCATTTAAATATATGTTCTAATTTAGTAGCCTTTTATTTCATTAGACTAGTGTTGTAAGCACTAACGTTTCTGAGAGAAAAATGGCAGAAAGAAATTGTGTGCATGTGTGTGCATGCACACGTACGGGAATGCAGCAGAAAGTGGGAAGAAGGCTGAAAGAAATGGTTGATCATTTCAGTCTCCAACATTTTGATAATGAGTGACTGTACTTGCAAACAATGTCAGCATTAATCCTTAATTTGTTATCTGAAGCTACAGGATGGTAACATTGCCTTAATAAATAGGAACAAGCTGTTACATCATGCTCCCAAATAAACCCAAACAGCTAGATGTTCATAGTGACACTCTTTTTGACTTGCTATTCTATATATGCTTTCTCACTTAAATATACAAGCTTTTATTTATTTATTTATTCATTCATTCATTCAATCTGAATGCTGCCCAAATCCAACTGAAGCCATATGCTTTCCATATTTTATTTTAGGTTGTCCCTCTTCGTTCCAGTATTTCAAGCCATTCTTGTTCAATGTTTCTTTCACTTCCTGAATTGTACACATCAAAATATTTACCTTAAATAAAATGTGTCCATGCAGTCTTGCAATAAATCAGATGCAATGTACTAGTTACTCCTCCCACCTGAGGTTGAGTTGAATCAGATACTTTAAATAGCTGGATTTAGCTTCTGCCCAGAGAGAGATTGATGGACAAAATGGACAATATGTAAAAACAAATGCCATGAAAAAGGAAGGGTGGGGGGAGGACTGGTTCTCCAAAATAAAGAACTCCAAAGACTTTTATCCAGGTCAACTGCAAAAAAAAGGCAGTATTTATCTTATAAGCACAAACTTTTGTATGAAAAAATACAGAACTGGAGCTCTCAATAGGAATAAAGGCTGGCAAGTAAAAAGAATTTGATACAGATTGTGAATTGGCTCATTTGGCAGCTCTTTCTGATCACCAGGATCAAGGTCTTTATAGAAAGGCTCTGCTATAGAAACATATATTCCCCCATTTTCAATTCTGGATTGACTTTCTTCCTGGAATTTTCTTTATTCTTTTTTGTCTTTTAATTTTCATAAAAACTTTATCAGAGCATAGTTAATATTTTACAATCTAGTGTTTTCTATGCATATGCACTCCTTTCAAGAGAGAGAAAAATAATTTTAGAATTATCCAAATACTGTGGAGTCTTTGGTGCTCTCTGAGCTTGACTGTTTGCTTGCAGATGTTTCATTTCCTGTCTAGGTAACATCTTCAGTGCTAGAAGGGAGTGGAGTTTGTTCCCTGTTTACATACAGTAGCTTGCCCTGTCAGTGTTGGTGGGGGTATGGTTTTCTCCTCGGAAGTCCCTTGATTAGGGTATTGTTCTCCGCTTGTTTACCATGTTTGCTTTCAGTGAGAAAGACAAAAAACTGAACAGCCAGCATGCTGGGAAGAGCCCCATAGTCTGGCATTTGCCCCAGCCCACAGGGCTCCAATGGCTCAAGTTCCAAAACAGAGGTTTTGTGATTTGACTTTTTGGCAGCTGATTCAGAGGAAAATGGCCTTGGCTGTCCATTGAGACACTGAACTATGAAGCCATGGCTGTGGCAGTTCTGTGGGGAGGAGTACTGTTCGAATAGGCCTTTGGACTAATTTATTTAAAAAATTAAAAAGGTCAATATAAAACCAGGCAAATTCTTATTAAGCAATGCCAGTGTATTATTAAAATTCTCCAGCCATAAGTAAGGAGGAAAGCCCCTGACCCATTTAACGTAACAAATAGATAGCCAGCACCTTAGTGAGAAACTACAGACAATTAACTAACTCTTTAAAATCACTAAACTAAAACCTATTACTCTGGAACAGATTTTCTAATTAAAAGCCTTCTTGAATTTTGCATTCATAATTTAACATGTTAGTGAGATTTCTGCCAAGCATATCCATAGTGCAGATTGGGGAAGGTGTT